ACAACGCCCCCCCCCCGCAGCCCCGCCACTGTGTCGAAGTTCCCGTCGCAGATGTCGGGACCATACTGGTCAGGCCGGTCTGGGCCGCCGGGTTTGGGGGGCCTCTCTGGTTTGCCCGGCGGGGGCGGCTTGGGGGGTCTCTGGTCAGGTCTGCCGGGTCTCCGGGGCGTCACGGTGGGCAAGGGCTTGGTGGGCTGAGGGCGCCCATCTGCAGTACCTGGACAGGGCGGGAGAGAAAATGGATGGGGGCAAGTACAGACCAGGCGGCCCTGTGTATGGCGGGCACAGCTCGGAGCACCAGCTCCAGCCTCCATGGGCCGTGTCCCGCGGAATGGTGCAGGGCCTCCCTCACCGTACAGCTGCTGGATGCCCTTGAGATCGTCCTCGGGCAGCTGGAAGTTCTCCGTGTCCATCCACTGGTAGAAGGGGGCCATGATAGCGCTGGGGTTGCTGGAGTGCTCCAGGCCCAGCGAGTGTCCCAGCTCGTGCACGGCCACCAAGAAAAGGTTGTTCCCTGCGGGGAAAGGCGCCGCTGGTGAGGGCAGAGGTGCCGCTCCGCGAGCGGGATGGAGTGGAGCCCGTGCCCTGCTGTGCCACTAAACCTGGGTGGGCGGGCTCCTTGCGTCACCTTCCCAAGCCACCCACTCACCAGACACGTCCGTGTTCTCCAGCGTCCAGGGCTCATCCGAGTCGAAGTGCGTGTCCCCTCCCATGCCCGGGCCAGGGAAGTAGGCGTGGGCCAGAAAGCCCCCGACGCCGTCGAAGGGGGAGCTGTCTCCGTGGAAGCCGGAGGCAAAGAGCACCATGATGTCAGCCTCTTTCTTCCGCTTGAGCCGGATGTCCTCGTAAGGCACCTCCTGGAAAACCAGCGGCGTGGCCTTCTCCCACACCCGGAAGGCCTGGCGGATGGCCTCGTACGAGTGGTACCGGCCCAGCTTCTCCGTGTAGTTCTGGATGCTGCGGGCACAAGAGGAGCGACGCGCGCTCAGGACGGCCGCGGCCAGGCTCCCTCCCGCTCACCCCGCCACCGCTTTGGCCTGGAGGGGTCTGTAGCTGGTGGCCCCTGCCTGGCCAGGAACAGATCTCAAGTGGGGAGGTGCTGTCATGCGGTGGGTGCCGGGGTCTTGCTGGCACAGGGGCTGCGCTGCCAACATAACAGGATCGTGTGGTGTTTCCCCACCACCATGGACCCCACCGGCCTCTCCCACCGCTCCTGGGTGCACACTGCCTCCTTTTCCACAGGCAGGGACGAGGGGGATCTCGGGTACCTGAAGGTGAGATGGTTCTGGCTCCAGCGCCGCCCCGTGAGCGCGTATCGCTTCCGCCGCATATTGGACTTCATCTGGACACCAAACTGGTCTGGGACCCCACAACGGGGACGCTTCATCCACCTGCCAGGAGGGTATCAAGCGAGGGCTCAGTGTACCACACCAGCACAAAAGACCTTGAGGAATTATGGTAGCAGGGGGCAGCGAGGGGACATGCAGGGAGACAGGCCCCGGGAGGAGGAGGGACGCAGCTCCCTGAATAGCAGGCAGAGATAAGCAGGAGAGAGTCAAGCTGCCTTCTGTGCGAGTGAGAGGGCAGTGCATGGAGAAACTCACATTTTGGTCTCCTCATCCAGGACACCAGTGACTGTGATCCCGTAGAACTTCTGCATCTCGGAGAGGGCAGAGGAGAAGATCTGAGCGGAGCGCATGGTGGACATCTGCCGGCTTGACTGCGGCAAGCCGGAGCCAGGCCTATGGGAGAGAGGCGAGCGTGAGACGGCAATGCGCTAAGGGGCAGGGACAATGGGCCTTCTCCTTCAAGCTGACATCCTCACCAGCAACCCATCCTGGAGTACTCCTGGGAGATAAAGCTCCTATGGGGCCCACCTTTGCAGCAAGGGCCATCCATCCTGAGCCCATCACCGCCCTCTGGTCTGCTTAACCACCTGCTGGCAGCTCTGACACAGCTCTTGGCACGGCTCGGCCCGCCCGTAGCGCCCCTTCTCCCTCCTCACCGGAGGGGATCAGGTGTCCATGCTTGCAGGGCGCTCCGCGTGCTGGTGGGGAAGCGCCACAGCCAGGCAGAATGCCGGGAAAGTGGCCAGTGCTGGGCAAGTCTCAGCTCGCGGCCGTCACCTCGGAGGCCAGGAATAGAGCCCCGGAAGAGGCCAGGATCAGGCCCTGCATCCCCTTCTCCAGCCTGCAGCATGGGAATGGGCTCCCGAAACGCGCCGCAGCGACAACAGAGACCAGCTGGCAAATGGCTTGAGCGGGCGCAGCCCTCGCCCGCAGGCGGGCGCCGG